AGGACAGCAAAAGACATGCAAGAGAAGGGAACAAAAAGGAAGAATGCGGGCTTCCCTGATGGCGCAGTGGTTGAGAGTCCGCCTGCTGATGCAGGGGACACGGGTTCGTGCCCCGGTCCGGGAAGATCCCACATGCCGCGGAGCGGGTGGGCCCGTGAACCATGGCCGCTGAGCCTGCGCGTCCGGAGCCTGTGCTCCACAACGGGAGAGGCCCGCGTACCGCAAAAAAAAAAAAAAAAAAAAGGAAGAATGACAAGATTAAACTTCGGATAATGTAGTTTACACAAGTCTCAAAATCATTCCTGTTATTAGAAAGTAACACATGTAAGTGCAGCAAAGAAAAGCTACAATAGCCTATATGTAACTGAATAAATAATGAAATACAAACCATGTAAGTGGACAGCACAGAATTCTGTGTGTAAAAAATAAACAAGCAAGTGCTCTGAGTTTTGAACTTAGTTGGGAATATTTATAAGTCCCTGTTTTATTTTTCAGCTTTGATGAAATGGCCAAATATGATCTCCCAGGAATAATAGATTTCATTGTAAACAAAACTGGTCAAGAGAAGTTGTATTTCATTGGACATTCACTTGGTACTACAATAGGTATGTTTACAAGGGTCAACACTTTACAAGGGTCAGAGCCATGCAAAAGTTCACCTTTGAATTGGAACAGAGTAACTGTTTTACATTTACGGTGTCCTTAATTCTCTGTCCTGTGTTGGGGACATAACCCTAGTGCCCTAAGTGGCTGTGAACCTGAATTCCAGAGACTGTGAGTATGTAGGACGAGCCTTTCATCTATTTCCGGTCACCACAACACATTTGTAATGGTGACATAATTTCCCAGGAATAATGTGTGCTCAAAATCCAAAAAGGTATTTCCAAAGAGTAAGTCTCTAGATCACCTCCAAGCTGAAAAAGTAAAGCCAAATGCCGTGAAATATCCTCGAAGAATGTTAACTATGCATCAATCATACCTTCCACACAACCCACATGGAATTTTAAAAAATAAAAAAGAGGGGCTTATACTCATATTTGAACAAATTGAAAAGATATGGTAACATTTTGTTTGTGAATCAGACCACAAAAGCTTACTACAATAAATCAACTGGGCTTATCCATTTAGTGTATGATTTAATATTTATGGAGTAGCAATTAATTGTAAGCACTATATAGATTTTTTTTAAAGTCCAGGAAATGTACTTTGAATGTGTGGTTCCTAGATTTTTTTTTAAGAAATCAATAGTCTAGCTCCACATAAAAATTTAAAGGAACCCATACTATTAAAAATATAAATTTGTTAGTAATCTTCCCCTAAAGTTTCCAGTTTTAAGAGACTGGGTTATATGAAAATGCAGTATTTTAGTTTGGGTGAAACTGTGCAAGAGACAATAAATATTCCTACAGTAGTCTCATCACCATTATCATCAAGAGCAAATAGGTGTTTACCAGTGCTTTGTACTGATAGGCAGCTTACAAATTTAGACTAGGCAGTGAGCATGAGAGCGAATACACTAAAAGAGGATCAAAGAACTAATAAGGGGACCCAACCCCACCCCCCAAAAAACTGTTACTAACAGGAAAATAATTACACCATAACAGCTAACACTTAGGAGCCTTTACTATGTTTAGGGTCCTCTGTTCAGGACCTTTCCTACAATCTCTCTGTCTAAGCTTCAGAACAATCCCACCATTATTATTTCCATCTCATAGAAAAGGAAACAGAAGTTCAAAGAAATTAAGTGGCTCCTTAAAGGTCTCTTAATACATAAGAGGTGGCACATAAATTCAAACCAGGTCACTTTGCCTTCACCGACGGGGTGCTTGGGCGCTGCGAGAAACTGCAGGGAGGACGACTTGAGTGGCGTCTAGAAAAGTGGAGAGGACTTAGCTGTGCTCTCATATCTGATTAGCAGAGAAAACAGTAAATTTCATCCTCAGGGCCCTGCGTTGCATTTAGGGCATGAAATTTTTCGGTGAGCACTATTTGCCTTTTGAGCAGAGAAATTTTTGTTGTGTGGGAAGGACCCACTCTTTATAGGACATTTAACAAGTCAGGTCCTAGCCCCTTAAATAACAGTTGGGCTCCCCAGTCAGTATGACCATCAAAAACTTACCTCCAGGGCTTCCCTGGTGGCGCAGTGGTTGAGAGTCCGCCTGCCGATGCAGGGGACACGGGTTCGTGCCCCGGTCTGGGAAGATCCCACATGCCGCGGAGTGGCTGGGCCCGTGAGCCATGGCCGCTGAGCGTGCGCGTCCGGAGCCTGTGCTCCGCAACGGGAGAGGCCACAGCAGTGAGAGGCCCGCGTAAAAAAAAAAAAAAACATCTCAATCTCCACACTTTCTAGACTTCCCCTGGGGGAATAATTATGCCTGTTTCAGTCTTTGTATCAATTACTCAGCCAGTTCCTTTTCTGGCTAAGACAGTTTCAATATTTCAACAAGAAGTTCAGAAGAAAAAAACCCCTGCTATGGCTACATACACACACATACACACACACACACACACACACACACACACACACACACACACACACACACAGTGGAGGGGGGCCCAGGAAAGTACCTCGGGGATCCCAAACACGGAGATCCTCCACATAGCCTTTCCTGTGTGAGGCTGACCCCCACCCTCATCCTCATAGTGCTAGATATGGATGCAATGCTATTCCTGAACAATCAGAGCAAATGGAGACATATGGTCCTTACTGGGACCATGGTGGACTGAGGCAAAGCCCGTTCCCTTTTGGATGCAGGGAAGATTCCAGAGGTTTTGGTAAGCATCCAATGAAGCACTCATCAACTGTGAGAAAGAAAAACTGTGGAATAACTGGACGATAGTGCAGAAAGAGCTGGTTGATTCACCTCCCACAAACTGATTATTTCTAGAGGCTCTGTTACTCACTCTGACATCTCAGAGTTGGTGGTAAAGTGACAATATTGCCAGCACTTACCCCACGCTTGGGAAGTGACGGTGTCCCCAGTTTACTTGGCAGGAGTTGCTTCAGCAACTTATCCTTCACTTTCCCCAGCCCAGTTAAATTGTCCAGAATAAGAGAAAAATGGAGACTTGAGAGCAGAGAGGGCTGAAGGCAGATTAACTCTGCAGGATAACTTAGAAGTGTTTCCCAATTCATCTCCAAGATCAGGGCAGTAAAAGGATAAAAATGACAAAGCAGAGTCCCACTTTTGTTAGTAGAAACATTGCCTAAATACTTCTAATTTTTACAAGATTGTCTTGTCTCCTATTCTCTCAGGGTTTGCAGCCTTTGCCACCATGCCTGAACTGGCACAAAGAATCAAAATGAATTTTGCTTTGGGTCCTGTGATCTCATTCAAATACCCCACGGGCATTTTTACCAGTTTTTTCCTACTTCCAAGTTCCTCAGTCAAGGTAAGCTCTTCCTTTTGCCAAAAAGTATATGAGGATCTCCTTTTGGATGATAGATCCTTATTATTTTAAAATCTATTATGAAACAAAAGTAGGACATTTAGATGAAATCTGTAGAAACCAGACTCTGGGATCATGTGCTTGGAGTGTATGTGTCGTTGTGTGTGTTTGTCTATGCCACAATGTCTACAGCTCCCATATGCAATTCACTATACTCAGTTATTAACAAACCTGAGTATAAATCAGAATTTCTAACTGAGCTGACTGCCGTGTCAGTTTAAGATCTACTCATAAGTTTCCTTGTTCCATTCTTATTCCCCTGGGCATGTCAATGAATTCACAGTGCCCAAATGGAAGACATTTTCCAAGTTACATGTGATTACTGATATCCCTAACTTTGAAGTTAGAAGAGCCTGAATAATATAACCCTTCCCATATGGGAGCTTGCTCTAATTTACTAAAGCTAAGATTCCAAAGAGTAAATGTCTTACAGCTGAATTGTTCATTCAAGTATTTATTGGTTATTTTCCAATGGTTGGAAAAGTCGCTTGATGGTCAATTGTGAGCTTGGGATTTTATTCTTTGAGAGTTTTTTTCTGTTTGCTTTTTGTTTCTCTAAAAAGGTCATTGCCACAATGAACATAGTATTTTATCAAGATTTCCCCTCCAATTTGGAGAGAAGGATAGAATAAATTTTGGCCAAAACGAAGTCAAGGAGACCAATTAGGGTATCACAATAATTCACATATAAAATGAGGTCCTGGTCTGAGGTGAAGAGGTAGAAATGGGAAAACAAGTATTTGTGAGCTAACACAAGGAAGAACTTCCATGAGGCCTGATGATTGGTTTGATAGTGGTTTTTTGGTATTGTTTAGTAAGCTCCAGTGATGTAACTTCCCTTTTTTGTCGTTAATAGTTCTATTTTAAAGTGTGCTGACATCAGTGAGTTTTGGATGTTTACTACATTTGGGCAGAGTTGAGCAGACAAATTAGTTGAATTAAATTCAGAGATAGACACATCTATTTCTAAATACACCAGTTTTGCATATGTGTGGCTTTGCCTACATAGGTCGGGTCTGAGGCACATATTGTCCCCGACTTATCTCAGTTTCTTATCCTCTACTGTCAAACTTCCCTCCACTTTAAGTCCCATTCTCTGGCCCACCCACCATTTCATAATATCCGTTGCCCCTAGAAGCTCCAGTCCTCTCATCAGAGATGCCCACCCAAGCTCGCTTTTCCAAAAGCCCTAGAAGTTTTAACTATGCTGCCTCCCAAGACATCAAGTTTTTTTCTGTCCAGTGGCACCCTCCCTTCAGTACTCCATCCTCTACCTTTCAGCATAAAAGCTGGCTACTCTGGAACACTACCAGAAAGGTGATGTGCACACGGGGAATAGGGAAAAACCCTGCTTTTCCTTCCTATTCAAGGCAATATTTGACCTTAAGGAGAAACTGCTCTACCTTTCTTGCCATTTAATGAGAAATATAGGCAATCACTGATTGAACAGAATGTGGGGGAGCTTCACCATGGAGAAATTAGCTAATTTGAGGTTGAGGGTCCTTACTGCAGTCTCCTTGTAAATTATGTTTGATGGTATTAGCTGGGTGGAGACCGATTCATAAATAGTAACTTTTCCTGAATGACTCGGTCTCCTTGACCAAAACAGCAAATAAATATAAAAATATAAGTAGAGCCCCGAGAATTCTCATTCCTGGCATGAAGGGAATGTCAAGAAGTCTGAAAATGGTCCTCGAAAGGATAATTCTTTTTTATTTTTACAGAGGATTTTTGGTACCAAAGGTTTCTTTTTAGAAGATAAAATAGGGAAGTCACCTTCTACCAAAATCTGCAACAATAAAATATTGTGGGTGATATGTATTGAACTTATGTCTTTATGGGCCGGATTCAACATGAAAAATGTGAACATGGTATGTATAATGATTCTGGGGTCATTCGATGCTTTTAGAAATTCCAGCTTTTCTTTGATTCATTTTGATGTCTCTATTATACTACATAAACTAATGTGGTATTCTAAACTTAAGGGCAGAGATTTGCTATGCATAGAAGATTAGACATTCAATGGACCATGAATGTGAAGAATGAGGAAGACAATAGGCAGCTTCATCCTTTCATACCTGGTCAAATTTAAGAAAATAGTTGTTCCACAATAGGTAGTGGTTTCACATGTTCACAATCAGCTACCCCTTACTACAGTCAACTTGATTTTATTTCAGTACAACACAGTGCGTTAAAAAATAAAATGAAATCCTAGAAAAGAAGTCCATACAAACATTAAATTTATTCCATGTATGCCTTCACTTGTTGGGTGAATTTAACCTCAAATAAAATTCATCATTTAACTTGGAACATACAAGACAGAATGGAATGGAGTGTAATCCCTTTCCTATGAAAGAGCAGAAGTCCTGTTTCATCAACTCTTTGTTTCCTGTTGCTTAGAATTCAAGGAGGACGAGGAGTTCAGACTACAGACCAGTGTGGTTGAGTAGTTATCTCTGTCATATTCCAAATGGCAGCCAGTGAGACTGTTACAGTGAAGTTAGTTCCAAAATAGCTTTTCTCGGCCAGCCACCCTACCCCCATTCTTTAAGAGGATAAGTTGTGTTAGACCAAAAACCTTGAGGAACAATTGTTCAAAGCCTGCTTCTTCAAAAGTAAAGATTTTTAATAGTTTCCTTGATTTGTTCCATTATATTCTAAGACATACAATTATCAGTACTATTTTATGTCTACAATTTTCCTCTCTATTATATTTATGAAGAATGAAATACAGCACACATGGAAGTGATTGATTTTTAGCTTTTTTTTGCAGTATTTTATTTTATCCTTACAAGAGCACAGCAAACTGTAGTATGATTTGTAGCATGTCCATTTAATAGATGAAAATACAGAAACTCAGAGATGATAAATAACTTGCCCAAAGTCACAAAGCTTATCATTAACAAAGTTAGGTCCTGAACTCCAGGATTTTTGATCTATTGATCTGTGATCATCACATCTGTACACACACACACACCCAGCTCCACACACACACACCTGCACAGAGTACCTTTCTTGGTTGCTTTGCTCCGTGATGTCCATTGTTGCTTCTGCTTCAAAATAAGCAAATTATCCTACAGCTTCAGAGCTGATGCAAGTTTGCTCTCAAGCAGCCCATGCCACCAGTCAGCCCATGGTTCACCCACATTCAAGTGCCTGACATGAATTTGTAATTATCTAGATGATTCTTCCTTGCCACTTTCAAAACTGCAATATTTGTTTATTAGTTCTTAGCATAATTATGATCTGCTTCTGAAAGGCATAGTTTTTTCATTGGGTGGTTAATGCTGTAATACGTGTCCTTTTTCCTTCAGAGCCGAATGGATGTGTATATGTCCCATGCTCCCACTGGATCGTCAATACAGAACATCCTACATATAAAACAGGTAGGGTCTTTGTCATGGAAAACTATTCCCTTAATTTTCTTTATATATGAAAGGACAGAGTTAGCATGTCTGTTCTAAGAAACTTAGCAGCTGGCTTCCTTTTTGCCCTTGTCACCATCTTTATGGTTTGATTTCCCTGGATTTTAAGAGAAAGAACAAGGGATGGGGCAGACCAAGTAGGTGACATAAATGAACCCCATCTTAAATCAGAGCTTGTAAAATAGGCCCTGAGCTGAAAGAAAAGGTAAACTGGGAGAGCCTCAGAACTGAGCCTTCCCCAGAGAGAGAAATACCTGAGATTTGATTTCCCCCTAATGAGGCTTGGTTTTCCACTTGCTTTTCCTTCAAACCAAGGAGATCATTGCACCACTTTCTGTCGACCTTGTTTTTCATACTGGTAAAATTTATTTATATCTTTCTGCTCATCCCGAAGCCTTATTTTCTTCCCAGCGTATAGTGCTTTTCTAAGATTTGCTGTTAACAATCATGATTCTTACTGTGAATATTACTTTTCTATAAAACATTTAATTCAGCTTTACAGATCTGATGAATTCAGAGCTTATGACTGGGGAAGTGAAGCTGAGAACATGCATCATTACAATCAGGTGAGCTATTCAGAGTGACCCCAGAAGGGTGGCTTTGAAAACTGACGGTGATAAATTGTTTGAGAGTAAGAAGAATCCTAGCTGGCAATTGATCTCATTCACATTGGTTGATAGAGATTTTTTTTTAAAGTCTAGTTTTATTATGTATTCATTTCAGAAAATCTAGAAATGAAAGAATTATGTACTAAGGGAGTTAAGTCATTTATAATCCCTCCACCCAGAGATAACTATAGTAGATGTATCAATATTTTATTACATTTATTACAATCTCAACATCACTGCTTTTCCACAACTTTCAATCTTGCTTTTTTATTTACAGTCAGAGCAAAACATAACCAATGTTACTGAGGGGTTTGTTTTTAACATTAATTTTAATGGCTGCATAATAATGAAAATTGTTTTATAAAAATCTATAAAAATTTACAGAGTAAATGAATACACGTTTCTTGATAGCAACAGAAGAAAATTAGGATTACATGTAAAAGTTAAGAGAATTTTCCACCCATGAAGTGTTGAATCTTAAGGCAACTTTTTCCCTCTAACTTTATGCACCAGAATTTATAGACTCATTTAGCCTTCCTTCCTTAGCCTATACTTTTAATCAATCCTGTTGCCACCTTTCTTTTTCTAAGTCAGGTGCTGGGCTTCTCAGTATGAACTAAGCACATTTTTCTGATGTTTTCCCAGACTGACCTATTTAAGGCTATTAGTGCGAACATAGATCGATGAAATTGTTTCTGAACATCAAATCAGTCAATCAGACCAGTCAATTTCTCAGTAATGGACTGAATCATTAGAGAAATGATTCTACTAGCCCTTAAGACAATGAGAGCTATATATAATTTTATTATTATTTTTAATCAGCTTAAGGTGTGATTAACATACGGTAAAATTCACTGATTTTATGTGTCTAACTCAGTGAGTTTTGAAAAATATATTCATTCATATAGCCACATCACAAGCAAGATATTGAATATTTTCATTACCCGCAAAGGTTTTTTCCTGCTCCTCAGACAATGTGTATTTACAAATGCATATATTTGCAAATGCTTAGAAAAAGGCCAGAAAATAAATAAACAGCAAATGTTAAAGTGATAACTTTCAAAAAGGGGAAGAAAGAAAGAGTGAAGTGGATGGACATGAAAGAGAAAAGGAGGCTCTCATTTTGGATTTTACATACATTTGTCTTTTTTCATTATAGTAATGAGCATGTTATAGTTATATATTGTTTACATTTACAAGAAAATAAAACGGGCTTCCCTGGTGGCGCAGTGGTTGAGAGTCCGCCTTCCAATGCAGGGGACATGGGTTCGTGACCCGGTCCGAGAAAATCCCACATGCCGCGGAGCGGCTGGGCCCATGAACCATGGCCGCTGAGCCTGCGCGTCCGGATCCTGTGTTCCGCAACGAGAGAGACCACAACAGTGACAGGCCCGCGTACGGCAAAAAAATAAATAAATAAAAGGGAAGGAAAAAAATCAGAGATCATTATATTATGGAAGTCCAAATCAGGGGGGTGAGTTGCAAGGAGACTGTGGTAACTAACACAAGATATAGGTGAGAATAGGCAATTATATTTGGCGATGAAAAGCCACAAGCAACTTTAAATAGAGTAGCTATTATAAGATGAAGAGCAAAATTACATTTTCCAGGATTCAGGAGTGAGTGGAGAAGTGGAGATACTTCGTCCGGGGCTCGAACCCGTGTCCCCTGCACCGGCAGGTGGACTCTCAACCACTGCACCACCAGGGAAGCCCTCCTTCCCTTTTTGATTGCTCCCTTTGTCCTCTGACTGGCTACTCTCTGTCCCCCACTGCTCTCAAATAGTTCCTCCAAAATTCCTCAAATCTCTCTCCCCTTTGTCTTTGGAGAACTTAGCCATCCCTATAGCTTCAGTTACCCCCTTATGTGGGTCATCCAAACTGCTTTTCTAGATTTTGTTCAGGACCCATTTCCAACCTATTTCTTCTTCAAGTCATCCCACAAACCGATGCCTATGCAATCATGCTAAGACGGAGCTCTGAGAAATGACCTTGCCTTGTCTCCAAAACTTCTGAAAGATGCCCAGCTGCTTCAGCCTTTCATTTAGACCTTGACTGTCTCCAATCTTATACCCTACAGTATTCCCTTACATATTTTCTTTTCTGGGTACACTGGACAGCTTGTCATTCCTGACCATGGCGTACATGCTATTCCTGCCTGCTGGAAAGCCCTGCCACCTTCATCCTTGTCTGTAAAATCCAACCATTCCTCAAGAGTCATTTCAAATGACTGCTCTTTATATGAAGCCCAAGTTGGAAATAATTTCTTCTTTGTCTTCACTTCCATTGATTGCATTTGGGGAATATTTTATAGCATTGAATATACCCTACTTTGCTTACAAAAGTTTATTTAGACATCTTGCCTTGTTCCTTCACACTCCTTGAATATAGAGCCCATTGCATGCTTTCTTCCTGTGGTCATAGTAAATATTCAGTAGTCTCTGTTTATTTGAAGTCAGTTGTTGCTCTGAGGAGCTTCCTCTCATGAATGTACTTTCTCTCTCTTCCATAGAGTCGTCCCCCACTATATGACCTGACTGCCATGAAAGTGCCTACTGCTATTTGGGTTGGTGGAAGTGATGTCCTTGTAACACCCCAGGATGTAACCAGGGTACTCCCCAAAATCAGGAATCTCCATTACTTCAACCTATTGCCAGATTGGAACCACTTTGATTTCATCTGGGGCCTCGATGCTGCTCAACGGGTGTACAGTAAAATCATAGATTTGATGAAGTCATTTCCCTGACTGCAATACATCTACTCTTCAGTTAAAAGTTGCTTCCAAGCCCATAAGAGGCTTTGGGCAAAATACTAATCAGCAATGAGGTCTACTCCAGCATCCTTCACCTTGTTGCTGTCGCTGAGGTGTTCCTTTATCACGGCATCCCAGCTAGGAATTATTCCTACTGTGCTGCTTTCTCTCTAGGAAATGTCCACATCTGAAATCTTAGAATCTTCCCCTCAGTCAGGGCTAGGTCCATTTTTTCATCTAAACCCCAGTAAACTCTTCTCTGCTAACTGTACACTTCAGGGAGGAGTTAAAAGACGCCTTTCTCTTTCTTATTTCAAATATATATAGTGGTTTCATGCAAATGATACTCACTCCCCATCCCCTTTTTCAAAGGATTGAATATAAGCATAGGAGTGCTGGCCTAGAAAAACCTTGTCAAGGGAGTCATTTGGCAATATGTTTGGGTGGCTGTGATCTTGTGGCTTTCTTGAAATCACAATTAGGGCAATAGTCATATGGTCATCTATAGACAAGCTATGAAATAAGCCTGACCCACATGAAAAAATTAGCAGAATGGAAAACTAACCAAATTAAAGTATTCCAGGAGTTTGTTTTACTGTTACAAGCTAGGGGGAAAACTAACTTTTAGCAAGCATATGACTCAACTGGAAGGAGTGGAAGGATGTGGCAGTAATAGATTAGCCTACTAGTTATGAACATTTAAGAGGCACTGGACATCGGTTGATATGTTTACAGAGAGAAAAGAAGGCATTGGTTAATATAAGAATCTGGTTAAGTGGGGGTCAGTTAAGAGAGCTCCTATGGGATTTGTCTTATTCAGCTACTGCTACAACAATGCTTTGTAATAAACAGCTCAGTGGCTTACAACAGCAAACGTTTATTTTTTTATGCTCACAAGTCCACAGTCTGGCTGGTGTGGCTCTATTTTACACTGAAATCACCTGGGCTTGGCTCAAAGCTGTGGGTTGGGTCCAGGTCTGCTCCACATCTTCTCTTCATTCTGGAACTAGCAGCTCTCAGGATTATGTTCTTTGCATGACAGATGCCAAGAGCACAAAAGGGCTAGCTAGATCACACTAGCATATTTGAACCTCTGCTTGTTCACATGCCTTTGGCTAATTCAGATGACATGACCAAGCCTTACCTCAGTGGGGTAGAATAATCTGCTTCACCTGCAGTGGGAAGCTGCAAACCACATGGCAGAGAGTGTGGATATACAATGCTATTATACAGGAGTGCAGAACTGGGGAAGATACTCCATTCTACCATATAGGCATAAAATTCAAAAGACAAAAATAGGGAATACAATAAAAAGTCTTCCTCTTTTTCCCAACTCTTGTCATACACTCTCCACTTCAAAGACACATAACTCTTACCAATATTTTGTGTATCCTTCTACAGACTATGCCATGCATATTCTAATGGATCCACAGATACCCATTTAGTTTTTTCTCCTATATGTACAGTACTATTCATACTTTTCCACGTCTTGCTTTGATCGCTTAGTATATCTTGGAGATCATTCCCCATCAGTTCATATGGAACACTATTAAAGGTTACATGGAAATTCATTATTAACAGAGATTAAGATGAATTAGGATTTTTTGTAATTACACACAGTGTTGTAGAAAATATTGTACAAACATCAGTTTATACATTATACAAATATCATTTATACTTAGAGGATAAATTATCTTTGAACCAGTAATTCTGGTTCAAAGAGCATGTAGAATTTTAATTTTGGATGAAAATATTTTTTAACTTTGTTGGTTGACATGAAATCGCAAATCATAGCTGTTAAGGTGGCTATTATCATTAAAACAAAAGCCAACAAGTGTTGACAAAGAAGTGGAGAAATTGGAACCCTTGTACATTGTTAGTGGGAATACAAAATGGTGCAGTCTCTATAGAAAGCAGTATGGAGGTTCCTCAGAAAGTTAAAAATAGAACTACTTTATAATCCAGCAATCCCACTTCTGGGTATTTATCCAGAAGAAATGAAATCAGGATATCAAAGAGGTATCAATACTCTCATGTTCAATGCAGCACTATTCACATTAGCCAATGTAGAGAAGCAAACTAAATGTCCATCGACAGATGAAAGGATTAAAAAATGTGATTGATAGATAGATAGATATAGATATAGACATAGACATAGATATAGATGTAGATATAGATATCTCACAATGGAATTTTATTCAGCTTTCAAAAAGAAGGAAATCCTGTCATATTCAATAACATTGATGAAACGTGAGGACTTTATGCTAAGTGAAATAAGCCAGTCACAGAAAGACAGCTACTGCATGATTCCACATACATGAGGTAGCCAAAATAGTTAAACTCATAGATGCTGAGACCAGAATGGTGATTGCCAGGAGCTGGGAGTAGGGGACAATGGGGAGTTTTTAATCACAGGTATAAAGTTGCAGTTTGCCATATGAATAAGTGTAGAGAGCTGCTGTACATTGTGCCTATGGATAAGAATACTGTATTGTACACTTAAAAAACATGTTAGGAGAGTAAATTTCATGTTAAATGTTCTCACCACAATAAAAAATTATTAAGCTTTATATTTATAATGTGTGCATTTTTCCTCTTATATATATTTCCATAAAAAATTTAAAAAAAATTTTTTTTAATTTAAGCTTTTCTACTTTAAATCAATAAGCTGAGAAATATAGAAGAATGCCCCACTCTTACCAATACTACTGCTTTTTTACATATTTTATACTTTAGCTCTGCATATGATAGCAAGTATATTGACGATTATAGGTCAGAGTGAGAGTTTACTCTTGGTTAAGAGTTCTACTTAAAATATCTCTTTAAAAACTTATAACCCCATGAGACAGTACTATGGTATGGTCATCTTTACAGATGAGAAAACTGAGACACAAAGAAAACTGAGGCATAAAAGTCAATTTGCCTAAGATTGTGTAAGTGAAGGAGTCATGGTTTTAACCCAGGAAGTCTGACATCCCAAAACCCACACTGCAGCATATACTTGTACAACTGGGCTCAAATGGCATATGGAACACCATAGAGGTCATACTTGCATTACTCTAGACTAAAATTACTTGGAAAATTAAGGCAGGAGATGGGAAAATGGCTTTTTATTTTTAAATTTTTTGTTTTGCAAACTCTAACTTTCAAATTGAGATGAGTGGACAGAAGTACCATATGATCTAGCAATCCTACTTCTGGGTAAACATCCAAAGAAAATGAAATCACTACCTTGAAGGAATATCTGTACACTCACGTTCATTGCAGCATTATTTGCAATAGCCAAGACCTGAAACAACCTAAGTGTCTATTGACTATGACACTTAGGTAATGAGAACGTGATATATGTATGTATGTATATACACATACATACATATATGTGCATATATGTATATACAATGGAATAATATTCAGCCTTTTTGGAAATCCTGCCATTTGTGACGACATGCATGGACCTTGAGGACACTATACTAAGTGAAATAAGTCAGACTGAGAAAGACAAATACTGTATGACCTCACTTATGTGTGAAATCTAAAAACATCAAACCCATAGAAACAGAGAGTAGAATGGTGGTTGCCAGGGGCTGAGGGGTGGCAGGAATGGGGAGATGTTGATCAAAGGGTACAAACTTTCAATTATATAATGAACAAGTTCTGAGGATCTAATGTACAGCGTGGATGGTAACTGTCGTTAACAACGCTGTGCTGTGCACTTGAAAGGTGATATGAGAGCAGAGCTTTAATGTTCTCACTGTAGCAACAAAATGATAATTATGTGAGGTGAAAGATGTGTTAGCTAACCTTATTTGTGGTAAACATTTCACAATATATAGGCATATCAAATCATCACAATGTATACCTTAAACTTACACAATGTTAAATGTCAACTGTATCTCAATAAAGCTGGTAAAAAATTGAGATGAGTGTAAGATTTCGAGGCAAGTCAACTATAACACATTTTCATTATTTTATCCGAAATATCAGTAGCCTTACAAGTAGGCATAGAGTCTAGCAATCCACCACGGATGAGGAATTTGGCTACAGACTTTGTAATACAAATTTATGGAAATTTTGGCAATGTTTCTCCTTTTTGTCTTAACCTTGCATTTATGCGAAGCAAGAAACTCATGCTCACAACCCTGTAACAGGCTCATTATATTACTATAGTTTCCCAAGCTTAAACATCTCATTGATACTTTTTAATGGAACAGCTAAGTGATTACATTAATTTCAATCAATGCAAATTCATGTCAAATGTAAATTCTTTGGTGAATTTCTTTCAGGAAGTGTAATCAGTTTCAGAGAGATGAAACCAGACTAAAATAATGGCTTTCTGAGACTCATTAATCCAAAACCTAGGAAGATGTTTGACCATCAAGGGCCTTGCTCAGCTCCAACCACTTCCCCATTCTCCTCCCATGGGACGCTTACCCACATCTTCCAAGGTCTGGCCGAAACACCACTATTTCTGAAAAGTTTTTCCTGAACCTCATGCTCCAAAATTAATAGTGCCTCTTAATAAATCTTTTTTGTTATGTTCCAGAATTATCTCAGTGAAGAGTTTTGTGTAAATCTGTCTTCCTAATAAATTTTAGGAAGAGGACAGAAGTGACGTCTTTCTTATCTTTTAACTTTTTAAAAACTTTTTATTTTGAAATGATATAGATTGACGGGAAATTGCAAAAATAGTATAGAGAGGTGCCACGTACTCTTCACTGTTTCCCCCAAAGGTAATATCTTACATAACTATAGCGTACTCTCAAAGCCATAAAATTGACCTTGGTACAATCCAGAGTTTATTCAGATTTCACCAGTTTTATATGCACTCGTGTGCATGTGTGCGTGCAAGCGTGTGTGTGGGTGTGTACAGTTCAGTGTAATCTTATGTGTAAGCTGTGTAACCACTATTGCAATTAAGACATAGAACTGTCCATTACCACAAAAATTTCCCTCATGCTATCCATTTATAGTCAACAGCCACTCCCATCACCCCC